TAACCTCATTCTCATTTATCTTATAGTTAATTATTCACATTTATTTACTGCTTTATATACATCTAGGCCCCACATTTCAGCCGCCACTATTTATATGACCAAAAAAAGGATAAATAAAAAGATAATAAAATAATTTTTAATAAATATAATTTTCCATAGCAATTTTTATTTGTTGGGCGCCTGGCTTAACAGCCTTTCATCTCTAAAGAGATAAATTAGAAAACAGAAAGTACTTACTGGCCTTTAATGGCCATCATTACATATTTACTCTACCATGCTAGCTCAGGTGAGAAGGGGTTAGGTTGGATAATTTTATAAAGCAGCAAAAAGGTTAACAGATCTATTTACAAAAATAAATATTTACAGAATTAATACTATGTACAATAAAAAGAAATAAAATACAAGGAAAAGGAGGGAACTCAACATAATTACTATATACAATTAAAGTTAAAAAAATAGAAAGATATTTAAGATAATAAAGATAATACAAATAACAAAAAAAAGATACTTATTTTATATACAATATTATGGCATGCCACATCCAAAGATAGTCAAGATACAATAAGATGTAAGAGTACATGCACATGCTAAAATATCAATTAGTCATCTCTCCAGGAAACAAAAGAGAGTAGAGTTTGTTTTGTTTCCAGTGCTTTCTTAATCTTGGTTACAACTCTTATTTATTAAAAAAATTATATTTATTAAATTATGTTTAAAAAAAAATATTCACTATATATATATATATATATATATATATATATATATATATATATATATATATAATTTTATTTTTATGTATAGTATTATATTCTTCCTTTCACAATATGTTATGTTAATTAAGTTACAATGTTTTATGCTATGTTAATTATCACTCGTTGTGTTTGTACGTAATATAAATTCCCGAGCCTTTGTATTTACACTTGTAAAAGTGAATATGGCAGTATTCACATTTATTAAAATGAAGTGAATGCAAATATTTTCACACAACCTTATTAATGAATACTCTTATTTATTTAAAAATATATATATTTATTAAATCCATGTGGGCTTATTTGTTTTAGGTGAAGTATTTATATTAAAATAATAAGTCATTTAAAGAAGACTTAGGCACCATTAGTGGATTACAGAATGATATAGCTTGAAAATGGCTTACTAGCAACCCATAAGTAAATAGTGCACCGAAAACTCAGTACGTCTAGGATCATAGATGCAGACTTTCTATTCTGGTACGGGAGAGGGTGGGGCCATAAAAGGATGGATCCATAAAAAAAAAAAAAAAAAAAATTGGCTTGGGAATTTATATTATTTACAAACATTACGAGTGAGAATCAACACAACATATTGTATTTGCAATTTATATATTTTTTTTTAATAAATTATTTAATAATATACTTTTTTTTAATATATAAGAGTATTCACTAATAAGGTTGTGTGGAAATATTTCCATTTGCTTCTGTAAATTTAAGCGTATTCATTTTAGTAAACGTGAATACTTCCGTATTTATATTTACAACCGTGAATACGTATCATCTATATTCATATTTCTTTTTATTAATATATTTATTGTATTCATTAGTACCATAACTATAAATTGTATTAGTAGTTATATTTTTTAATATAAATATACCTATCTCTGCTTTAGACTTAACATGTTTGATAAAAATTACCATCTTAATATCCACGTTTTATTTTATAAATAATAGTTATTAACTGGTCATTCTTCGAATTTACAGTATATAAAATGATTATTTTAAAGGTATTAGGATATAGAGGAGGGGGGGAGGGTAGAGTTCTGGCACACCTCAGCATAGATAACCCTTGGGGTAATGGCATCTCTCAATATGGAAAACATTATAAAAAAAGTTGAAACTAAGGAAATCCTTCAAACTTATTAGCTGTGATATAGAACTTCGTTTCTACTGAGTGTATTAATTTATCCATTGCAATAACTAAACTGATATACTAAAAAGAAATTAGTCATAATGAAGTCTAATTCACTGAAGACTTTATTACACAACATTACAGGGCTAATTCAGTTTTATTTATTTCAAATTAAAACATATCAATTTATTCGCAGACCAGTCACTAATTTGATTTATATTAAAACATCCATACAATGAATCCGCATTTAAGCTATATGTTTGTTTATTATATTATGCATAATGAACACTTAGAACTCTCACAATCTTTTATAGTGATAAACGATGTATGCCTGAGAAATAAAATGTGAATATAAATATAAATATATTTAAAACATTAATGTACAAAACAATTGTAGTGTTAGTCATTAATTTGAGAGTACTGCAAAAATTATGAACACTTAGTTTATAAAAATATGTATCTTAGTATTATAAAAAGACATTTTTCATAAAATATGATTACTTCATTTGATATTAAGAGGTTCCACTTGGTCTGAATTAAGAAAGTAATATTTCAACCAACTACTAATATGAATGCTAATGAGCTCATCCAGTCCTTACTTTATGAATGTGTAAGGAGACAGATATGCTCTTGATGCCCCAACTCAAAAATTGATTTTATCAGTGTACTAAGCATTAAGCTTAGTGCTTAATTAAGCACTTACCTTTCCCCTCCTTTCCAGTCATTCAGGGAAGTCTTAGTCTTTCCAATCTTTTATTAGAATCTGAGAGCCAGGATTTAATCAACATTTAGTGATATTTAAGTTTACCATAAAAATTAGCTTCACCATTAATTCTATTTTATTTTATTTCATTAAATCATACATTTCAGCCAATATGTCATCCTCAGTTATGATCTATAATAATCTTTATTCTGAAGCTGGTTGCAACCTTAATTTAGTAATTAATTAATATTTAACCTTAAAAATTATTGCAACAGTAGTTTTAAGTTACTATTCATACAATTTAAGTAATGTAGTTGATATATTGATCTGAGGTTCATTTCCTGATTTTATATTGAATTGTGGAATAAATAATAATAAATTAATCCATTTATTTATTTTTTTTAGTTTCATAACAATACTCAAATAGTTAACAAAAAATTAAAGTAATAAATGTTATAAATCAACAACAGTCAGTTTTTTGTTAATTATGTACACTGCTTTTGCTACAACCCCTGGCCCAATAAATTTGTCAATGGCAGGCACCTGCTCAGAAGGGGTACAATACTCCTATTAGAGGTTATTAAAAATTAATACATAGAAATAGAAAAATAACTTTATTCTGGGATGAGGTCCTCTGAGAATAACATAAGGTTACAAAACAAAAGAAATACATCTGGCCAGAAGAACTACATTAAATTTATTTTAAAAAATCTTATGTAAACAAACAAAATATACAAAACCAAACTGGAGATGCTATAGATAATACATATAAGAAATGAAACAAAATAATCGCTGATTAGCTATAGTAATAAAAAGAATTAAATAAAATAGGAAGAAAAGCAATAAATACATGCATGTATCAAAACAAAGTTCATTTATTTAAATGAATGGAGTTAAGTAATACAATTTTAATTTTTTCAGTCAATTATACCATATGCCAGTAAAATTAGACCCTGTTGGGACTATTGGTGGAAGTAAACAGTAGAAAGCTAGAAGTAATTTTGATCGCTTTATTTGGTGTTTAAAAAAACTTATGCACAGTCCCTCACAACAAGGTTAAATTACAGCATATAATGTTCTAAACTAAAAATCTATATTTAGTATAAAACAGTAAAACCACACTGTTTTCACCTCTATATAATGTTTTTTAAATTTTATTCTAAAGGAACTTTGTCCCAGATGGAAAAAGTTGTTGGACTCTTTTCAGTTATTGATTTACAACTCCAAAATGATGCTTCCTAAAACAAAAGTTTTTATTTAAAATATGAAAAGAGATTAAATTCTCCACCAAATGCATACCAAATATTATAAATTTACTCTAGGAATGTTATCAAAATCGAAAAGTCATTTATTGATCTAAGGTGAATTTTTCGGCTTTTTCCACTTTTTTATTTGTAACTTCAAAATGGTGTTTTCCAGTGAAAACTGTTTTATTTAAAGAACAAATACTATTTTGGAAGAGTATCTTGTATTATAAATTCGATCCAAGATTGTGGTCTCATTCAATGGTCACATTTTTACTAACTTTGCCAGAATACCAAATGTGTGATTCCCTAACGCTGTTCTATAATTTATAAAACTTTCATAATAAATTATGAACAGAATTATGTATTTACAGAGTTAATACAAACAGCTATTTCCATTGCGCATAAGTTTATAAGTCACTACAGTTATCAACTATTATCCTCTCTCAAAATTGTAAGATTAGGTATCCATTCAACGCAGAATATAATGCTAAAAATATTTTATGTTTTTACACTTAAAACAGTCGTTCCCATGGTAAATATGTTTGAAAATCACACATTTGGTGTTCTGGCAACATTGGTAAAAATGGGACTATCAATTTCAACTGTAATTTTGTTCCAATAATATTGGGTACTCATCAAATACAGAATTTAATGTTCTTTAATACTTGAAATAAAAATATTTTTTATATGAAGAACTGTTATGAAATTATAAATAAAAAGTGTGAAGATTTGCCCAAGATTTTTAGAAATCTAAATCCAAGTAAGTTTTAAATGGTAGAATTTGTGACAAAATGATACAGCCACTTTTATAGTACTTAAGTTTGTAAGTCAGATATCTTGACTAAGTTGCTAAAAGCAGATGTTGTATGACTGTTTATTTTAACCATATTCCTGGACGTATAATGTTAGGTACGTATTCACAGAATCTATCCTTCCTCAATCCTTGAAATTAAAAAGTTATCCATAAAAAGCATCATTTTGTTGTTGTAAATCAATAACTACGAAAAGTTCAAAACATTTTGTGGTTTTTCACATGCTCAACCTTGTGTTGAGAGACCATGTAAAAAAAGCATATATATATATATATATATATATATTATATATATATATATATATATATATATATATATATATATATATATATATATATCAAATAAAGCAATAAAAATCATCTTTCCGTTTACTGCCACAAAAACCTCTTATTTTACTGGCCTAGCAATAAACTTAACTTTTTTAATTTAATAGAATTTACTATCTTTACTTTTCTTTTTATTGGAAGAACTTTACATGTTGCCATTCTTAATTTGTTTAGTTGAAAGAACGAGAATTGAGACATATTATTTTTAAAGTTAAAAGATGAACAGATATGCGATTTCTATGAAAATTGCTCTGACTAGAACAAATTTTAAACACTACATGGAAATTACGTAATCCTATTCAAAAACATGTTTCTAGTACAATCTTCAGGATAAAACCCTTATTAAACATATATGAAAAAATCAAAAATAATTATTTCTTTAATGTAATGACAGTTTTATAGCTTTAGGTTTTAAAACTTAAGTATTAAATAAATCAAAACATAAAACCAATTAAATATGGTTTTCTTAATTTTTAAAATGTTGTAAATGCCCATTCAAAAGAGTAAATTCATCTCTCCGTGACAAAAATTTGGCTTTTCCTGTTCATTAGGAGAATAAGTTCTATGCTTCCAGGCCAGGACATTTAAAAATTGTCTGAGGAGAGGAGTGTCCATTAGAAGGGTATCTTATTAAAACTGTAAAAATGTAACTCTAAAATTATTAATTAAATCTCTACCACTGCAATCTATGAAGGGTCTTGGGTTCACTTAAATTAAATACTGTTTCTAAGCCAACAGTTGTGCAATGAGGTGATTTGGCCAAGATAGCTCATCATCCAATAACTGAATATCTAGGTTTTAACCTTAATTGTGGGTACCTACTTTACACAGGCTGGGTGCTCTCCAGGAGATTCTCTTGACCCCCGTGTTGATCCACAGCCAATATAACAGAATAAATGATAATTGCCACAGCCAGCCTTGAACAAGGACACAAAGGGAATAAAGTTAAGTGACTCACTGAGAACCCCCAAAATTATTATCTAAACCTAATTAAATATTAAAAGAAAATACATTATTTTTTAAAAACTAAAAAAAAATTAATGAACTAGTATATATACATGTTCTCATCTTAATTATTGTCATTAAATTTATAAGTTACAATTATCGTTTGTATATTTTCAATTATACAAAGATTTCATCTCCTTCTCATCTATCAATGATAAATAAACGCTTTATTCAAAACGGTAGAGCAATAAGAGTCAACTATCTTCATTTAAAGAAAAATTAGACTCTAACATACAATTTAGCTTGGTCATTATATGTTCCAGTTCAGAATGTAGCTGTTTGCTATATGTTTCATCATTTTCAGTGGATTCTAGCCATGTTGAAAATCCACTGGAATTAGGAATTAACAATGTTGAATCTTTTTCAATTTCAGACATAAGAGGAGATTGTAGAGCAGGAATTTCATTTTGAATAGATCTATCTTCTTTTCTATTGGCCAGTGAATACTGTAAACAATAAACATCCAAAAATATAAAGAGTATGAATACTCAGTAAGGGAGTATGTATACTATACACACACTCAAATATATAAAACATGCATAATAGTAAACAAATATTTTATAACATTAATTAGGGTATATATGTTAAGAAAAATACTAAATACAAATAAATATGCCACTTATCAAAAATTAGGTTTATCTGATATACTGACAGAATTAGTTATTATGTAAGTGAAGAGCAATGAGTAGCTACAATTCTCTCCAAACTAAAACCCTAGAAATCCATAATAATAATAATAATAATAAAAGGCTTAGCGAACCCGAAGGTTTGATGCCGACACCACCAATCACTTATTACACACCTCCCTCCACTGTTCCCCGTCCAAACCCAGTAGCTTCAGATCGGTTTTAATTCAATCTTCCCACCTTCGCTTCGGTCTACCCCTCGGACGCTTACCATTCGGCACAGCAAATATTAACCTTTTAGGAATTCTCTCGCTACTAAGCCCAACAACTTTACAAGCCCATTTGATTCGCCACGATGAAATTACCTCTATTATATTGCCCGGATACAGTTCACGCAATTCGGCGTTGTTCTGTCTAACCATCTGAACTCTCCAGTTAACTCATCCTTCTTGGGTCCGAATATTCTATGCAATACTTTATTTTCAAAAACCCTAAGCGTAGATTTTGAAAACGACCTCCATTTTTAGATTAGGCCACCGCGTTTCGATTTCTTTGAGTTTTTAGGATTTTTTTCATATGAGGGTGTATTCTTATGTTTCCGGAGTCTTAGATTTTGAAAATGACCTCCATTTTAAGATTACGCCACTGCGTTTCGATTTCTTTAAGTGTTTCGAATTTTTATCATAAAAGAGTGTATTCTTATGTTTCCGGAGTCGTAGATTTTGAAAATGACCTCCATTTTAAAATTACGCCACTGCGTTTCGACTTATTCAAGTTTTTCGAATTTATTCAATTTAAAGGTCTACTTTTATGTTTTCGGAGCCTTAGTTTTTAAAACGACTTACATTTTAAGATTAGGCCACTGTGTTTCGGTTTTTTTAAGTGGTTTTGATTTTTCCTTCGAATAAAAAACAAAATACGAAGGATTAATTTATTTTTCAAAAAATAAATAAAAATATCTAATCGAAATAAATAAAATATGTATTGTCTCATTTTTAATTTAATTTTAGTCATATTTTTTAATGTTGTGGTCTCCTGTAACAAGATTATTAGATTTCGAACAATTAGCTGAAAAATCTGAATACGGTAGGTTAAATTTATTACCAGTTGCTTTTCGGCTTTTTAGTTTGTATTCTGTGGTTAATTTAACTTTAGCTTCATAATATTTATTTATTCATATTCGAAAATATATTGATGAAACTTTTTATTGAAAAAATCCATAATGAAGCCTAATTAATCTAGATGCAGCGGCTTAGTCATAAAATGGAGATTAAATATTAAATAAATTTAAATATTAAAGATTAGAAAAATTTCAATACGTCTCCGATAACATATAGGTAGATCCTTATACCGAAAAAGTAAAAAAAAAAAAACTTTTATAATCCAAAACACAGTGACATAAACTTGAAATGGGGTCATTTACAAAATGGGGAAATCTACTGCTCCAGAAACATAAAAGTAGACCTTTAAATTGAATAAATTCGAAAAACTAATAAAGTCGAAACCCAGTGGCGTAATATTAAAATGGAGGTCATTTTCAAAATCTACGACTCCGGAAACATAAGAATACACTCTTTTATGATAAAAATTCGAAACACTTAAAGGAATCGAAACGCGATGGCCTCATCTTAAAATAGAGGTCGTTTTCAAAATCTAGGGCACCGGAAACATAAGAATACACCCTTTTATGAAAAAAATCCGAAAAACTCAAATAAGTCGAAACGCGGTGGCCTAATCTTAAAATGGAGGTCGTTTTCAAAATCTACAGCTCCGGAAACATAAAAGAAGACATTTATATTGGATAAATTCTAAAAACTTAAATAAGTCAAAACAAAGTGGCCTTAACATAAAATGGTTGTCATTTTAAAAATTTACGGATCGGGAAACATACAAATACATCCTTATATCGAATAAATCAAAAACACTTAAATAATTCGAAACGCAGTCACGTAATCTTAAAATGGAGGTTATTTTCAAAAACTACTCATACGATAACAGACCCACACATCGAAAAATTAAAGATAATTAAATAAATAAAAAAAAGTTGAATTTGAAATGAAAAAGGTTTAATTTGAAATGGAAAAAGTTGAATTTGACTTGGAAAAAGTTTAATTTGATTTGGAAAAGGTTGAATTTGACTTGGAAAAGATTGAAATTGACTTGGAAATGCTATATCTTCAAATGTATCCAGAAATCTTCAAAAGTTGGAAGAATTATTAACAGAAAATGGTTTAAACCATATAATTTTGTTAAGATGGTAGTCCGCAATGTTCCTTTTATTACTATAACGCTTTACTAATTTATCATAGGTCAAGCTGTAATTTTCTGCATTAAACTCAATTGAAGAAATGGCCTGTGAAGCAGGATGAACTAAAAGTGAGTTGAGATATAAAAATTCCACTATATCTGTGTAATTACGATGATGAATTAAGGCATCAAATAATGATTTAAGAGAAGGAAATTGTTCGTACTGTCAGGAAAATTGAGGAATTTGTAAATCTGGCAATTTAGGATACGCTGCTGGTTCAGACATGGGTTGAGCGGGAACTGTGTGCTCGGCTTTAATTTCTCGTGCACAACTTGTATCCCATAATAAAGTTCCTCTGCCGCTAAAGACGGTGTGTTATCTTCTATCCTATGTCCTTCCTTTAACGATTCATTTAGCACCAAAATCTTGTTCAACACTGCTTCAAATTCCTCCAGTTGTACTTTAATTTCTGAAACCCTAACCATAAAAATTTCCCTTCTAGTAGGGAGACCCTTATTCATATCGAATGTGAATTGAATTCTAAGAAACATCCTTTCCTTTTTGATCATTTATAGCTGTAAGTCCCTCAGTACTCTTAGCCACCGCCATCCTCAAAGTTGTTGAGAAAAAAAAAAATTCAAATTAAATTTTAATTGCTGAAGGTAAAACCCAATTTTATTCAATATAAATTCAAAGTTCAGTAAAGAAGGCCTTTTATTCAAAATAAATTCAAAGTTCAGCAAAGCAGGTCTTTATTCAAAATAAATTCAAAGTTCAGCAGCAAACAAGCAAGGATTAACGTAAGTATTAACGAATTCCAGCAATTCACTATGTGTTCTTTCCTGAAAACTGCTTGACTTCTCCAAATACATAACGAAAGCATTGGATCTATTAGATAAGATATATTTTTAAAAAACGAATTAATAGGCGAAATACGAATATTAGCCCGGAGGAAATATATAATTTTTACAAAAAAAATTAATTTTTATTACTCTGCCCCCAAATATGCAACAAAGAAATAAACGACATAAGTTATATTTAAAAAAAAACAAATAATTAATAGGCAAAATACGAATATCAGCCCGGAAATAGATGATCTTTACATAAACTCTAATAACCTACCAGGCAATTTTCCTCCTTTAGGTACAGCAAAATATCACTAATATGGCAAAAAAATTTACAAAAGGTTGCGGGGCCACTGCTGTTTTAACCTCCGGGGAGGATTGTAGAGATGACTGGAGCTAGATAGGGATTGTGCTACAGGATTTGGATGATGAGTGAGTTTCTGGTGAAATTTGAAAAATTTGTCTGGGATTAGGTCAATAACAAATGGGATATGAAGGTTATTATGGAGGGTTTTATTGGTTACATAGAAGGGAGCATCGACTATTGTTCGGAGGACTTTAGACTGAAAGGATTGAATGCGCCTAATGTTAGGAGGTTTTGTTGACCCCCACAGCTCTAGTACGTAGGTCGAGAAAGATTTCAGGTTTGTCTTGTAGATTAGTAGTTTGTTGTCGATTGAAAGTTGAAATTTTCTATTCATTAGTCTATATAGCTGTCCATATCGTCTGTTTAGTTGTTGTCTTTTAAGTCTGGTATGTGGGTTCCACGTTAGTCTTTTATCTAGAAGAAAGCCAAGATACCAGACTGTGTCTGAGAGAGGAAGTGGTATGGATTTGAAGTAGAATGGTGGACAGGAGTTGCGCCGAAGGGTAAAAGTGATGTGTTTGGATTTGGATTCATTTACTTGGACGCACCAATTATTAAACAAATGTTAATAAGAGAAAGGTGACTTTGTAGGTTTGAGGATGCTGTTTTAGGATCTGGATTAGAAGATAGGATGGCTGTGTCATCAGCGAATGTTGCCAGGAGGGTTACGGAATGAGTGGGAATATCAGCGGTAAATAGAATGTAGAGGACGGGACCCAAGATGCTGCCTTGAGGAACTCCCTCCTCAGTTGAATGGCAGTTAGAGAATTCTGTATCACGACGAACTCGAAAGGAGCTGTCAGAGAGGTAGGATCGGAATATTAGATATAATGACTGGGGTAGGTGGGTTTTGAGCTTGAAGAGTAGTCCGGTGTGCCATACGCGGTCGAAAGCTTGCTTGATGTCCAGGAATGCTCCCGAGCAATACTCTTTGCTTTCTAAGGCTGAGGATATGTGGTCAACAATTCGGAGTCCTTATTGAACGGTGAAATGCTGGAAACGAAAATTGATGAATAGGAAGGTTTTGTGATTCTATTATGGGTAGGATTCTTTTTAAGAGGATTTTTTCAAATATTTTTTAAAGGATTGGGAGTAGGCTGATTGGTCTATAGGATGATGTGTTATTGGAAGGTTTGGCTGGTTTCAGGAAAACGATGATGGTGGAATGTTTCCATAAGAGAGGAAAATGGGTAGTTCTTAGGATGCAGTTGTATATATATGTGAGGTACATGATCACTTTGGGTGGTAGTTAATGAAGGATCTGTGGGGTTAGAAGGTCTTTTCCAGGAGATTTGCGGGAAGATTATTTTTGTAAATATTTGACCTCAGAAGGATCAACTGCTTTTGGTGGTAGGGAAAGTGGAATTGGTGAGGAGAGGAATTTTTCTACTTTTGCAGTATGGGAGGGATGGGATTCAGGATGAGGAGTAAATGTACAGGAGAGATGTTTGGCGAATTCCTCAGCTTTGTCTTTATCAGATGCCGTCCAGGAGCCATCACCTCAACGGAGGGGATGGGAAATATTTTGATATTTTAGAATTTTTTTGGTGATATTCCAGAGGGAATGGTTGTGAGCGGAGAGGGAGGTAAGGTAAGAGTTAAAGGATTGGGATTTGAAGTTGGATAATTCTTGCTTGACTTTTTTAGAGTAATAATTATAGGAACGGCGATCTGTGAGATGTCTAGTGCGTTGCCATTACAATCTGGTATGACCTTTGGTTTGGATTAACTTGAGGATGTGTTGTGGTAACTTATTTTTCTTTAGAATTATTGGGAATAGTGATTAAATGATTTAGAAAAACTATTTTAAGAAACTAGAATATAAATTTTATAAGTTTGAGTGTGTATCACTCTTCGTTCACCTGGAAGAAGAGGTCTAAGACAATATAAAAATGTGAAATTTTACAGAAGAAGCGTTTAAAGTTGACATATACAAGTTTATTACTGTCTTAATTCACTTTTAAACATCAAATCTGGTATTTTTCCTAATCAATAATATTCATTTTTTTTTTTTTAAAGAACGTTAATCTTCATGTTTTGATCATTTAAATATGAATTGTGGAATTAAATTGTGGCAGTTTTTCATAAAAAAATAAAATAAATTTTTATTACGGTAAATATTAAAATTATAGCTCTGAATGTTTTCCTAAAGAAATATAGGTGAATAGAAGACTTTCAATCAAAAATAATAAAAAATTAAAATTTTCGTATTTTGTGCCATACTTCTTCGAAACCGATAATAAATAGAAAATATACTAACCTGAAGTGCTTTTATTTTATCCAAACGTTCTTGCAAAAACCTTGCCTGGTGATCAATTAAATAATTAGTTGAAATTTCTGTCGCAACATCAGATAGCATTAACCTACAACAATATTGATGTTCAAAACATATATATATATATATAAAATAAAAACTAAATATTAACATAAACTAAAATATTCATAATCAAATTTCATTAACTATTTAAGAACTCAGGACATAATGGAAAAATAATTTATTTTAATCTCTCTATAACATAAAAAAGTTTTTAGTGACTGTGTCATATTTAATTTTACTTATGCAAAGTGGGCCATACTACAACAAAGACACTACACTTCTTAATCCCAGAATTATTTCTTCTTTATTATGATTACAAATTGGCAATAAGAATAATTATAATTATATAATAATATAAATTGGCAATAACGGATGATGTATTATATAGATTTTTAAAGAAATTAAAAAAATTTCTAAACAGTGGGTTCCATTTATTTTGTGTTGATAAAAAATAATACAATCTGAACAAGGATTAGTACAATTAAACGAACAGTTGTATAATTTGTAAAACGGAGGTTGATCCGCTGTTGGGAGGGGACAGGGAGTACCCCTCTAGTTCTTTATTATAATTATAAATTAAAAATAAATCAATATTAAAATCTTCTGGTTAATATAAAAAACAAAAATTCAAAATGATGGATAAATTAATTATTAATTAGCGATTAAATTAATGGCTGGGAAGATTCCAAACATAAAGCATTAAGTGTCTAAAATACAGTTAACTACTAAACCATTACCGTTTCATTAATTCAGACATCATAAGGAAAGAAAAAACAAGATCATATTCATCATATAAGATCATAAGTAGACCGATGTTCAAGTGATTTAGACAGTCGGTCAAGTGAATTTTGTGTGTTTTGCAAGACACAAACAACAGACTTCCACCAGTATTTATTAATAAGGAAGATGATTTTGAAGTTTTTCAGTAAAAACTTGATTTTTGTTGCTCCTGAAGATATATTACCCACATACAAAAGGAAATTCTGGCATTATACGTTTTTCTTATTTCCTCCAGTATTATTTTTGTAGGCCTTTTTTTTTTACTTTATATCAATTTTATAGTTTGGCCTACGAGATATTTTTATAATTCTATAACTTTTTATTACCAATTTTAGCATATTTTTTTGTTATTTTGCATTATGTTTTACACTTTCTTTTTATTTATACTCTCAGCAAACATTTTCTTTCTTTATTATCTACATATATTAGTTTTACAACATTTGTTTTTTTTTTTCTTTTTTAAATAGCAAATTTAAATTGCGACCTGGGTGGACAGGGCTGATAGCCATAGTGAAGGCAACCTGCCTAGGAAAGGCAACGCCAAAATCAAACCACTGTCCTTGCAGTTTAAAAAAAGGTTGATCATAGGGCCAGCAATCCTTAATCGAAAAAAATATTTCGCTTTCTAACCCAAAACAGAAAGAAAACCAGACGGAACTAATCGGCAACAACTTAAGGCGCAGAAACGGAACATGTTTTTTTGTACATGGAAAGTCTAAGGCTTGAGGACCAAGAAAAACAAGGTGTAAAATCAACTAAAAAAGCAAAATATCGATGTGGCAGTCCTCAGTGAAATTAAAATCAAGGGAGCTTACAATGAACTTTCAGAAGATTAAGTGTATATCTACAGTGGAGTAGAAAAAAGTGAGAGAGCTAGAGCAAGGGTTACAGTGGCGATTAATAAAAGATTGCGCAGGTATATTAAGAGTTATGAATGTGTAAACAAAAGGATAATTAAACTTGAAATGGCATTGTTTGGAGAAGAGGTTGTTATTTTTGGGATCTGTGCTCCAACTGAAGATTCTAAGCAACCCATAAAAGACACGTTCTTCGATGATGTTTGCGACTTGATAGAGAGAACACCTGACCATAAGATTGTTATCTGATTGGGCAGCTTAAATGTGTTAGCAGTAAGTTCAACGATGAGACCGTGGGGTTCACAGAAGAGGTAACTAACGATAACAGTGCAAGATAAATAAGTTTGTGTGAGCAATTAAACATGAAAATATTAAATGGATTTTTCAAGCATAAAGAAATTCACAAATTCTTCTGGCATAAGCCCACTAAAGGCCTCAAATCAATCTTAGATTACATAATACTCAGGCGCACCACTAGGATAAAGGTGAACGATGTTAGACTGATGAGAGGGCCGGAATCTGGTTCAGATCACTTTCAATTAAAGAGTATACTGTATTTTATACCTCAAAATCTTCTTAGAAACTCTCCAGTGACCAGAGGAAATTCAGACTTTTAGAAAACTATTCGATAATCAATTGAGAGTATGACAAATCAAGAATCAGTAAAAGGACTGTTCCAAAAAAGCTGACTGATAGAGAAATTGAAGTATGAGAAAGGTTTGAATGATCAACTATATTAGGAGAATATAGTAAAGTGTCTACATGCCGCACCTTTAGAAGCTGTCGGAGAGAAAAGGAAAGAGGTTAGAGGAAAAAACAAACCTTAGTGGAATGAGGATGCTGAAGTGGCTGTTCAAGAGAAAAAATGTTTACACAATAAATGGTTGTGCTCTAAAAATGAGAAGGACCAGAGGGAATATAGAAATGCCTGTAAAAAAGTAAAAGCTATTAGAAGGAAGGCATTAAGTATCTATTGGAAGAAAACCTGCAAGTATGTAGACACTTACATTGATGGGCAAAAGTCTAGTGCTGCTTGGAGGACATTAAAAAAATTGAAAAATCTCAAAAGATATGGAGATAACTTCCCATTGGTCAAGTAGTAGCAATGAGTGAACTACTTTGAAGAATTATTTCATGAAGAGCGACCCGAATTAACATGGAACCAACCAAATGAAATAATATCAAATAAGGAAGACATAACGCCCGCCAATAACAGTTATAGAACTGGATTCAGCTCTCAAAGGAATGAAAATAGAAAATCTCCCGGCCCCGGTTCTATTCAAATAGAATTAATTAAAGCAGGCCCAATCAAACTCAAAATGGCACTGGCAGAGAGTATGACATTTCTGTTAAATAGTGGAGAGATCCCTGAAGAATGGAAGCAGGGTTATATCACTCCAGTTTTCAAAAAAGGTCAAAAGAAAGATGTTTTCAATTACAGAGGTATTACGGTTACCAGCTCCCAGCTCACTGAGTAGATTATACGGGTGAATAATTAAAAACAGAATCGAAAATGACTTAAGGGAAGAAATCAGTGAGGAACAGGCAGGTTTTCGAGCTGAAAGATCATGCACTGATTACATCTGTAGTCTCACAACTTATAGAAAAGAAGATGGCCCACGACCGTGAACTCCACATATTTGTAGATTTACACAAGGCCTACGAATCAGTACCTCTAGGGAAATTGTGGAAAGCCACATCTATTAAGAAATACCTCATCAGAGCAATTCAAGGGCTCTATAAAAATATAATGGGTGCTATAAAAATCGGAGATAGAGTGTCTAGAAGCTTCCCCATTAACAAAGGATTGAAATAGGGCTGCTGCCTTTCACCCCTGATTTTCAAAATTTATATAGAACAAGCCCTTAAAGACTGGAAAAGATCATGCGGTAGAATGGGTGTTCAAATCGGGGATAATGTCATCTACAATTTGCAGTATGGCGATGATCAAGTCATAATCGCATTGGATCCGGATGATGTGAGCTATATGATGAGGAAATTGCTAGACATGTATTCCAGATGGAGTCTGAAAATCAGTAAAAGTAAAACAGAGCTAATAATTTTCAATGCTCCAAATTTACCCCTTGAAATTGATGAGTGGACGCTCAATCTCAGCCAACAGTTCAAGTACCTCGGATACTGGCTATCTTCAAAGGGAGGTAGTGAGGTTGACATCGAACATAAAATAAACAATGGGAAAAGAATAATAAGTTCGATAAATTCAACCCTATGGAGTAAGGAAATAAGATTGGGAACTAAAAAGAAGATCTACCATTCCTTTGTAGAAAGCGTAGCCACCTATAGATCAGAAGTTTGGACAATTATAAAAAAGGCGGAAAATAGGTTGCTTTCCATGGAAATGGATTTCTAGAGAAGAAGCTGTGGCATATCTAGAATCAAGCGGATCCCAAACGCAACAATTAGAGACAAGGTCGGATGTCAAAGGAACATCCTTCACCTGATCGAGACCAAAAGATTAAAGTGGTATGGCCACGTAATGTGGACAGATGCGAACCACTGGCCAAAGAAAATTTATAACTATATGCCACCTAAAAGAAGGAAGCATGGAAGGCCAAAGAAGAAATGGATAGAGGATGTGGAGGAATGCATGGCAGCCAGAGGTCTCTGTGAAGAGGATTGGAGGGACAGGGAGCAGTGGCTTTTGGGTATTGGGGATATGACTGTGGAGACCCAAAAAATTCAAATTAAAAAAAAATCTGTGCAACACACAACTTTCACTTACCGCTCAACTTTGAATAAAACTTATTTTCTGGTCATGTTTAGCTATTATAAAATTTTTGAAAAGCATTTTTAACTGAGCTAAAGCTAAAGGATTACAGCTTAAAATCATAAATACTATTAAAATAACTAAAGTCCTGTTTATTATGTATGATTGATTATGGATTATACGATTCGTTGATTATGGATTGTACGATCCTTGTTATTTTTACTGTTATTTTTCATTGCAAAGTTTACTGGAACGGAATTAAGAGATTTGCATTGTCTGTCTTAGACTAGTCAAAAGTTGTTACATTAATTCTAAGTGGATTCTGCTGGAATATCGTATATGAAAAAATTTATCAGATTACTCCCTAATTTAATTTTTTAGAAGGTTACATAATGATTTTTCGGAAGAAATGGACAATAGATACCTAATTATTTAAATATATCAGATCAAGAGTTATTAAACTACAGTAAATATATTTAAGGTTATAAACATGTGCTTTATACATCCACGAAACGATTTTATATTTTAATTCTTCTTTCACATAAGTACAATGAAATATTTTTTTTAACAATGGCATTGCCTTGATTAGGTGGATTTTAAATAATTTTTACAAACTTAAGAATATGTTTTAAATTTTAAATTTAGTTAGTAAATTACATTTAATTTCCTTGAAAACATGTG